CGAGTTGGGGAAATGGCGTCCACTGTTTCCATCATAAAACTATTGTTAAGGGATGAGTTGGATAAAGTGAACAAGATGTTTGTCAAACGGATCAACTATGAACTGAACAGACGTGTAGTATTGCCTTATCTCAATTACGACGACTACTTTTGGTTAGGCTTTAATGGAGGAAGAGTTAATAATCACAACTCTTGGGACAACTCAAACATCTTAAGGACAGCCCTATTGGGCGTCGAAGACGAGACATCTCTACATCAAGTGGTGAACAGAAGTATCAAAAGTATCGATATATTCATCAATCAGTACCCGACTGACGGCGGTTGTGATGAGGGGCCGACGTATTGGGGTTGGGCTGGGGGTCGACTCATCGACTACCTCGAGCTCATGACAACAGTGTCCGCCGGAAAGATCAATTGGTCGGGCAATGAACTGATCGATAAGATCGGGACGTTTATATACAAAGTGCACATCTCAGAGGACAGGTATGTGAACTTTGCGGACGCCCAGGCCAAATTAGGGGTGGAAGCGTCGGCCGTCTATAAGTTTGGCCATACCTTCAACGACACGACACTCAAACACTTCTCATCATATGTGGGCCAACGATATAACTACGAGTCCATCAAAACGGCGTCCGACTTCTTGGGCAGTCTGTCTGTGTTTGTGTCCACTCTATTGACGTATTCAAAGATCAAAGACATCGAACCCAAGGCTCCGTTTCCACAGAACTTCTACTTTAAAGACCTCCAGGTCTTCACCGCCCGAACAGAAGCCGGTATTTAATTGAATCCATTTATTGTCGACTCTAATAATCATTGAATTTTGTGTGAAAGGGTCGACAAAAGGACTGTTCATTGCGGCCAAAGCGGGCACTAATCACGAGAGCCATAACCACAACGACGTCGGGAACTACATTATATACGCTAACGGAAAGCCATTCCTAATCGATGTGGGCGTCGGTGTCTATAATAACGAGACATTCAGTAAAGACAGGTATAAGATATGGTCGATGCAGAGCCAGTGGCACAACTGTCCCACCATTAATGGCATTCAGCAAAAGAATGGCGATAAGTACGAGGCCTCAGGTGTGAGCTATTCATCCACTGAAGACACCATTAAGTTTAGCGCAGATATAGCCGGCGCCTACCCTAAGGAGGCAGACGTCAAGAGTTACGTCCGAAACATTGAATTCAATCACAAACTCAACACAATTACGGTTACCGATGACTACGAGCTGAAGAAGTGGTTGAGTCCATTGAAAGTGCATTTCATCAGTCATTTGAAGACTCAGATGAGTAGCTCTAGCGTACAGTTTGTGGACAAAGACAACAGCCTTTCCATGAAATATGA